GGGGTGTAAAACAGCGGGTGACTCGGGCGCGACGGCTACGTACGCCGTTCCTGACTCTTCGATCCGTTTTTATTTTCACTTGCACGCCGATCCCCGGTTAAAGGGGAAACTCCGACGCCTGCTGAGCGCCACGAATGCCCCCGCGATTTGAATTCGGCGAAAATAATAACGGTGTGTGTAAAATGGCGGGACGCGTGTATATATGGAAAAATGACTACCCGTGATGGTGGGGTTACCACGGCTCGGTGATCAAGCGTGTAACGAATAATGGTGGAAGTGAGCTTTTTCCCGCACGCAACGCACGCGTCGCCCGCGGACCGTCAATTGAAAATCAAACCGCAATATCCCACCTTGCGTATCCGATCATCGATGTTAAATTTGTCGGCGTAATTATTACCGTTCTGCCAAAACGATGCGCCGGATTGTTCGTCTCGTGGAATAGTTATTCACTCAGCGAAACCGTAATATCAAATTGAAAAAACGGAAAAGGGGGGAGAAAACAGATGATTGATACTCCGCTGCGTGTAGAGGGCGGTCAATTCAGAGGAGGATATCGCTGGCGCGGTGGAAATAGTTCGAAAAATAGCGCGAGAAGCATAATAATTCGAGGAGCGCGCGCGTGCTCGTGACGCGCGATCAGCTCGATATCGCGTCGGTGTTTTATTTCGGATAGCAAAACGCGCTTCAATTCGCAAGTTTAACGTATCGGGAAGCGGAAAAAGGTGTAGCGCCTCCGCTTACCGTGTGCGTCACAGCCCGCTCGATCAGGCTTGATGGGCATCTCGCGAGAGAGCAGCCGGAGGTACTCGGGGAACAATACACTTCCGGCGCGGCTGACAAAGACGCACGGCACGTACACACTACCGAGAGGGGTTCGACGCCGGTGAGAAGCGGAGGACGGTACGTTTGATTCCGTGGGACGGCGCAATACATCTCTCCTCGGTTTACCGGTCGCTCGCTGAGACGGAAGTGTATCGTGCCCGGCGAAGCGGGCACATCCGGCTCGCAAGATTAATTGCCAATAAACCTCCATTACAGAGACCTCTTCCCGCGGCGTCACTCCTCCCGCGATATCTCGCGTCGTTTCCCGGCCAGCCGCGAGCGTACGTCGAGCCCTCGGACTTCTTACGGAACATTCTAATGAGTGGAGCGAAATAGCGCGAGTTATCTTATTCCGTTCCCGCGAGAGATAAAAAGAGAAAGAGAGAGAAAGAGAGAGGTACTCCACACCGACGCGCGAGGAAGACGCGACGAGAAATTATTTATCGCGCGGAAGATAATTTATGATGGAAAACGATATAGCGTAACTCAAACTGCGCGCGCAATTTATTCCTCTCAGTTATAACGATTTATAGCAGACCGTCACAATTACTCACGTAATACGAGCTGTCTCGAAACAAAATGCGCTGTCTCACGAGAAGATTGATAATTTATTGTCCCACCGAAGCGTCTGAATTCAGTTCAAATTCCGAGAGTTCGATGTTAGGGGGTAATCCGCGTGATGAAACCGCAGTAGCGTGCGCTCGCGATTTTTCGAAGCAACGCAAATTTGGGTCTCCGTACGCGTATAGTCAGCGACAAAAACGTAACGACACTTTCACGCACGCGTTCCGGTGCTACTCCGCGATTCGAAATAACGCGAAAGACATTATCGAACAAATTATTACACGTATGCATACGTTTTTAATTACACGATGCATGACTTCGCGCGAGGGAGATTGCGTTTATGCAAATGCGGTGACTATCTGAAAAATTTGACGTAGAAAAATGACGGGCGCGCTCGCGTGCTTAGAAGCTGCGTGATTATGCATGCAATAAATCTCGCTTCGAAATCACCAAGTGAATGCTTAGGAACACGTGCGAATCGATCGCGGCCTATCTTGCACCTCCGCCTGGTAATCGAGGGAAATTGCTTTCATCTGAATTCAAAAGCATGTACGGGAGATCAAAGTTCTTACGTGCCGCGATGGCGAAACGAACGAACGAACGAACGAACGGACGAACGATGGTGCGAAGAACTTATCACGCGAGCGTCGATTAAAGTTTCCACTTTGCACCTGGTTTCATGAATTTCTCAACCATGATTGATCGCATCGAGTGCTTTGAGATTGTCATCCGCTTATTCAGACACGTTCCAAGGAAATGTTAATAACTAATATTCCTGTTAGTTCTTTCTCGTGAATCATTATTCTCTCTCTTTCTCATATTAATACTTATTGGTTTTTTTTTATCAACTGTATATGCAGTCGTAGAAATGAAAATTATTAAAATTATTTCATACATACAAGGTAAAAAATTGCAAAACATAAAGTATAAACAGATAAAACAATTTGAAACTTATATATTTACATAATAATTTCATCAGAATTACAAAACGATTTCATCGCGATTAATTATGCAACAATGGCTACTTTGTTAAATAATATCCGGCGTTCATTATTGCCTGTTCAATTCCTGCAAATTTTACTGAATATTTGAGTCAACATTTTAATTGGCATGTCTATTTTCTTTTCTTCTCTTTCTCTCAACGACATCTTTTTATCTCGATTTCGTGAATCCCAGCTTTGGTTTCTTCTCTTCATGTCGCAAGATATACGTTCGGGTTTGCCGTGATTGACGCAATGCGCGTAATTTGAAATGCCGACAATACTTTAACGTCGCAAGGATACGGGCGGAAAACTTTACCGCTTATGAGTATCGGCAGCGGGTCGATTCCCGCATATCACGAAAGTGCGCGGGAGAAAGAGAACGGTTGAATGAAAGAGAGGGTAAATTGATGGAACGGTACGATTAAAAGCTAATGACATCGCGTTTCTACGCGAATAACGGCTTCAAAAGAAAGCTTTTTCTGAAAGTTGCCCGCCTTGACAAACGATCGTGAGACCAACAAGAACAACGGCGTCTGCCACGAGCCGTACTAATAAACCATTTTTAATTGCGCCAATTTATTAATTCCATCGTATCGGTTGTGTAAAAATCCAACGTCTAACACATATTTACCAATAAACCAGAAGCGTTACGGAAGGCAACGTTGCGAAACGTGACAGAAACGCGGGACAAGAAGTTAATTCGAACAATTTGCAAATGGCGCTCTATGAATATTAGAGCCACGTGTTTTATTAATATCTGTTCTTCTCGGTTTCCACTCTTTTACTTCTTTTGCATGCTTGGCGAACGTAAATAAAGGCAACGCGCGTTTCCATCTTCCCTGCGATCTCTCTTATCTATTATAAACCGGCGAACTGCGACCGGAGCGTCTAGCTTCGGAAAACGGGTATATTTGTTTGGCCGAGTCCACGGAAGTCCATGAAAATCCACAAATCTGAGAATATCCTGCCGAGATTTATAGCAATCTCTGTAACACCGGGCGATCCCAAAAAGAGTGGACACACGGGTATATGTCATCCTCCAGCAGCGCGCGACCGTCTTCTCCCGGGCAAATCCCGCTCTTTCATATGGCGGTACGTGCGCCGCGCCTGATATATACCGCAAATTATTATTTTGCTATTTCAGAGGGCGTCCTTTATCCCCGCACCGGGCTCTCCCGGTCCTTCCGGTAGTGTCGTCGATGCCGGCGGGATGCTCGTTAATCATTTCGACGAAATGAAAATATAGATAGCCGGCGGGCGAGAAAAATTATGCCGAAAAATGACAGCTGTTCGGTTCGGAGCGCCGGGGTTATATTACTGTCTTTGTCTCTTTTACCGAGCTGCATCGCGGTTTTCACCTCCCGACCCGCTCGCTCGGATGGATATTAATTAGCGGGGCAACAATATAATACGCGTGCTCAAGCACGCGAAATAATAAAGAGATAAAAATCGTTAAATCGCGCCGGACACACACGGCCAGCCGCCAGCTGTGCGCGGGCCTCTTTTTTGCCGCGAGGCAGCAATTAGAGAGTGTCACTCTGTATTCAAATTTTAACGTCTCCCTCGTATCGTTTTGACGTGCCGTTTGAGAAGAAAAACCCCGCGCGGCTTCATTGGGAATACGTTAAATCGTCGTATTAAAGAGGCGAAAATATATGTCGGTCGTTATCGGGAATAGCGGGTCGGGGTTAAAATCCGTTCAACGCGAGACGATACGCGACCATCGCGCGCGCAATGCGTGCCGTCACTGCCGTGTCGTGTCGCGGTGTCTCCCTTATCTACGTGTACATATAAGTACGTGTTCTCGCGTATCTCAATGAGGTAATCCGTCGAGAGAACGAGGCCACGATCCCTCGGCGTTTCGCACCGCCAGCCCACTTTTCGGCTATCTGGTGAATAGAACCGATGCCGGCGGATCCGCCGGCTCTGCTGGCATCGTGGACAATTAGAGGGACTCGTGAGCCGTCGGAATTAACACTCACAACGGCAACGGCGAATATTTACCGGCGCGTTATGCGGCCCGGCTGTGTGCGTGGGAGCTTGTTCGCGAGACAATAGACTTGCCGAGTAAGCCGTCCCGGGAGCGCGACGATACACCGAGAATATCCTTGTCGAAGATCGCACCAGCCATGAGAGAGAGAGAGAGAGATGGCGAGGGGGCAACGGGGAGCATTATATCGGTGATTATATCGGTAGACGCTGATAGTGAGAAAATGGAACCTCGATGTCAGCAACTGGAAGGTACCACTCCAGCCCCTATTGGCCGAGCTCTTCAGCTCGTGCCAAGAGGACAATACCGATCGTGCGAACCTGCCTTCGTCGCGACGACCGGGCGGCCAATTTTTTCCGGGGAGAAAAAAAGAGAAGAAGCAGACACCACGGAGGCGACAGATTCACTCGCCGACCTCGGGCGTTAAGAACTCGACGATTAAGAGCATCTCTCTCTCTCTCTCTCTCTCTCATGGGATCCCGAGCTAAAGTGATAATGACACCTGCGATCTCGTCTGTCTTATAGTTAAGATGTCAATTAGATGTAAATTATATATAATTTCCTACACTTTTTTCCTCTTCTTCTCATTATTTTTTATTTCTTTCTCACATCTCGTCCAATCGTGCCATTGTTGATTTCAGATTGCTGACCTTCTGCTACTTGGCAGCGCTGAACTGTTGGCTACTTCTGTGCCCGGCTATACTTTCACACGACTGGCAGATGGGATCCGTTCCTCTGGTCGCGTCTTTCTCAGACACCAGGAACCTGGCGACCTGTATATTCTTCGGCGGTTGTTTGATACTCACGTACAAAGCCTTCACGGATTTCGAGGTGAGCGCGCGGAACCTTAATATCGAGGCGAGATTGCTGATCGTAACACGTTTCATAAGTCACCGCGTGAGGCACGCGAATGGTCCCACCTATCGAACGTAACGGGGAAATTGTATCGTTCCTGTTCCGGCACTGCGCGGAAATCAGGTCGTGCTTACCTCGATAAGAGGTTCCCTAATATCGCGCATTCTGCCGTTTTATTTTAGCGTATCGGTGTAATGCCACTTGAAAAGAATTGCCTTTAACAAGGGTATCGTGGCGGACCTCGCCGACGTTATCGACAACCTTACGTGAACGTAAAGCGGAATAACCGCCGGTTATCGTCTGCAAAATGTCATCCCGCGATTAAATGTTTCTGCCGTGGGCCGTAAGGAGAAACGTAACACTCTGCGCTTCCACTTTCCGTCGATCTCGACGCCGACGGCCGACGACAAAGTTATACTTACTTGGGGAGGAGGAGAGTCGTAAAAAAGAACTCGCGTAGTAATCACATGACGCGAGTCTCTGAATCAAACGTTTAAACGCGTCTCGTAAACCGCATCGCTATCCGCATCGCGTTTCCCGCGGGTTCACCCATCGACGATGCGGAAGGCCGAGCCTTCGGCGAAATGACCTCTTCAAGGTTCCGCACGTGTGTACATCGGCGGCCACTTTTCCCCAAAGAGGTCGTACCTGCAGCTTTAACGCTACCTCACACACTTGTCCATCCGCCGGCGGCGGCCATCCAGTTCTTCGCGAGCTCAGAGCAGTAACGAACGTCTTCTTCTTCGAACGAGGTCATCCCTTACTCTTCCGCATTGAGCGGTCTACGCGTTTACGTGGCTGCCCGAGGAGAAAAATCTTTTTACAAGCGCGGTTGTTTCCCATTCCATCGTCGGCTTTCCGTACATACACGTTTGTGGGTTACCTATAATACTCGTCGCAGCGTGAGATTTCACGAGTGTCTCGAAACTAACAGATTTTCTTCTTCTGTTTCTTCTCCTCTTTTTTTTATTCCGACATAAACTTTAATCTCGTAGTATACACTTGGAGAAAAGTTCACCGGAATATCGGAATGATGTCTTTACGCGAAAAGTCCAGATTTGCGAGATGGGAATGGTGTTTCTTTAAAGATTTTATCCGGTAAATGTTTATTTACAATGCAATATATATATGTATATATGTATGTATATAAACGATGTGACAGTCGTATTAAATAGATTACTGATGGTAAATATCAATAATGATGCCCCACGTCGATTTCCACATATCAGAGTTCTATCTGTAACACCTCTAATGGCGATTTAATCGCTGCTTTGACGACACGACGTTTTACATCTTTGACACAGCATGTCGCACAACTTATGATACGCGTGATGTATTAAAGCATAATACAGTCTGTTCGCAAAAAATTCTGTCGAGATGAAATTTCTCATTAAAAGTTTCCGTCAATTGGTAAATAATACATGGTGTGTGGGATATTATGTTGTAATTGCTCGTTTTAAGTATTTGGAACTGCGCAATCGACGCAAAAGGTTTGCTTGTTCGCGATTATCGTTCGTATTCTCTCGTACACCTCCCGTGGAATTAATTGATACATTACAAGCGGCGGCACGCTGTCCTTGAGGCTCGCTATTTGAATGGGTCCTTTGGGATTCTTCTTCATCAGTAGGATTTCGCTCCCCCGTTTGTCCAACATCTGTAGGAAATCATTTCCGTTTCAAATATAATCCGCTCGAAATGTAACGATTTAAAATTCCATTGACATACAATACACTAAGATATTAATATAAATGAACTTTTTATATTACTTAAAAAAAGAAAATAACGGTCGAGAGAGAGAGAGAGAGAGAGATTCAACCAACCGTGTACTGTATCAGCATCATTTATTATATCCTCTCTCCCGCACGAGATAAATGACTAAAAGCGTTGATATCGCGCTCCTTGTTTACCTGGTACAAGCCAGCCGCCCCGCTAATGAATCCTCTGGTCTCGACGTTCTCATCGCATTTACTCATTTCACGCGACGGATACAACACCGTGATCTCTCCCGAGGAAAGATCTGCCTCGCTCGGAGCGATCGCTGATGTAGCCGATATTCCATTATCGATTTGATGGTGATATCTCGCGCGATAATCCAAATTGTCAGAGGTAGATGCGGATGACGCTGCAGACATCGAACTTCGCGTTTCCTCCATACTGACGGAAGACTCCGAATTACGTGAAACACTGCTGCTCTCTCCCTCGGTGCTTATTCGTGTTTTCGCATCGTCGAACGATGACGCCGTTACTTCGCCATTCAAAATGCTCTCGTCCTCACTCTCGATTTTCGCCTCCATCGACGCAATCGTCTCGGCCGAAGCACTTGACGTGGCGGCAGCGTCCCGGATCGCAACATTTGAGCCGTCTCGACACTCGCCCGATTCCTCAGTGCAAGTCTCGGGTTGCTCGCCTTCGATATCACCGGCTGCCGCTCTCGCCAATATCTCCGCATAGACAGCAACTTCCTCGACTTCTCTCAAAACATTAAACTTATCCTTATTTTGTGCGCGTTCTTCCGCAAGAGTACCAGCGTCTGACGTTGTAACCAGCCAGCCGCTCGGCTGAGTTTCTACGACCCGGCTGCGTGTTCGCGCAGCTCCTAACGTCGATACGTTAACCTTTGAATCTCCCCCGACCTTTTCGCTCTCAGCGATACCTTCGCTGGTTTGCGCCGCTGCGTAAGAATTCGCTGATGACGTCGATCGGATTACGCCAAGTTGGCTGTCTTGAATGACGACGAACGAGGATGCCGTTCCGCGTGAATCTCCTCGCTGATCATGCTGATCGTCAATTCCCGTCTCGGCGATCGCGTTCACGGAGCTTTTGTAGTTACCACCCGAGATTTTCGTGCTTTCGGCTCCCGCCGCGGGGGACGTGTTCGATGATGTTCCCGAAAGATCCCCCACGCTTTCTCGAGAAGTCGTCTTACCTTTTGTTCGCCTTTCCGTGACTAAGCCGGTCAGTAAATCGGAAGTTGCCGTTTCCGCTCTCGCGCTTACCACAGTATTCGAATCTTCCCCTGTACCGTTAGTATTTTCGTTCATCGCTCGTGCGTTCGCATACGCGTCGGATGACAAAGACGCTTGAAGCGATTCATCTTCTTTCACCTTCCCGAATTGATTGGAAGTTATTGTTCGTACCGACGCACTCGCACCGAGAACATCAGTGTAATCCTCCGCCAGGACATCTGCGTGATTTTCATTCGCCACGCTGGACTTTGCGTAGGAATTGCTCGACGACGTCGCGGCCAATTCTTCAGGATTATTTCTCCGAATGCTGTCCGCGTGGTCGAAAGCCTTCGAAGAGGATAACGTCGCCGAGTCCGTGCTAATTAAACGTTGCTTCTGAAGAATTCTCGATTCGTGCTCAACTTTTTTCTGAAATTCCTTTTTCACATTGATGAAGCTTGTTGCTTGTCCGGGCGCTTCGGCATTTTCGCCTTTCGCTTTTGTTATCCTATGTATTTGAGAATCCTCGTCCAATTTTTCTCCCATAAAGTTATCCGTATGTTTTTCTTCATCATCAACGGAAGTCGATACTAATGACGACGCCGACGCTTTTGCAATCGCAGTCCCTTGACTATTTTCCGCTGCGTTCAATGTATGCATGTCGTCCACTCGCGATTCGACGTGCGAATCGGCTGACAATAATGTTTTCGACGAGCCTTGAACACCGCTCGAAAATATCGCCTCAGCAGATGTCACGCTGTTCGCAGCAGCTTTCAAATTTGCCCTCATGCTGTTAACGATATTTTCAGTTTTCAATATTCCGTCTTTTGTATCGCTGGAAAACGTCGTCTCTGTCGAATCTCGTTGAACGTTTGAATTATCCCTACGCTGCTCCTGTGCTTCTGCGCGTGAATTGGATAACAATGTAGTTGTCGTCTCGCCATTTTGACGTTTTTCTTTAATGACGCCGTAACTCGTTCCTCTCGCCGACGTAGTCACGCTCGCAGCATTTGCAAGGTTATTTTCGAACACGTTCTCGTTCTCGATTTTCGCGTACGCACTGCGACTAGAATCGGATAATGAATCCTTCCTCATCCAATCGCTTTGTCGCACGCTCTCGAGATTACCGGAGACCGCAGAATCCGCTGACGCTCTCGCGTTTGCAATTATTTGTTCTTCTCGCGAAGCCTCATTTAAATTGTGTTCACTTCCTCCGTGTAATTTCGCGTACGAGTTAGATTTCGACGCGGTTTCTATTAATTTTTCTCGAGATCCGCTCTCGACCGTTTCGGAAAACGTCCGCGCTGATATCGCGGCACTTGCGATAACTTCCGAACCTTCTTTCGCGATATCGCTGGCCCTTCCATGTTGCACTTCCGTATGTGAGTTAGACGATGTTATAGATTCCGATAACTTTGGTTGTTGTGTATTTTGCATTATGTTGAACTTGGTTTCTTCCGATGGCAGCGGTACATTCGAAATGATCGCCTGGTCTTCCTCTCGAGTGTTGAAATCGTGTCGTTTCAACTGGGATATTGTGGATGCCTCCTTTTTTGCGTCATTGCGAAATTCGATCGAAGAAATATCGGAAATTGATGTTTCCGCTGATGCTTTTGCCTCTACAGTATCTCCCGTATCTGCTCTTTGATGTTCGCCATAATTATGCAAACTTGAGGAAGTGGAGGAAGATTTTTCTCGGATCGAGTCGTCTTCGTGTAAATTTTCGTTAACTTGGTCGATTATCGATTTTGCCGATACTTCCGTCTTCGACGCATTTTCGGTTTTACTCCGCGTCTCCGCGTGCGAAGATGACGACGCTGTGCTTTGGTATCTTCCGCGCCACTTATTGATATCGTATGTATCGCGAGTTTCAATATTAATTATTTCGTCTTCCTGTGAGACATCCGATTTATGATTAACCTCTGATCGAGCTTCCGTATCAATCGAGACTGTTGATTTTAGATTTTGACTTTCGTTTTGAACGTTAGCGATAGATGTCTTTATTGGATTACCTTGGTTGTGGTCTTGAAA